TTCCCCCCCCCCCCGCCAGATTTGGGGGGGCAGGGGAGGGAAGGGCGGTAGATGACAGTGTTCGGGGAATGTCTGACTTTTGAAACATATCACATGACCAAAGCACATTTGGGTTCCTGCTTCAACCCTAAGCAAGCAGATGGTAGAAATGTTCGTTATTCACTCAAAAAATATTTACAGTGGATGTAAAGTGTGCTGAGCATTTCTCCCCACACCGCGGATAAGCAGTGAACAAGACAAAAGACGCAAGGTTCTTCCCTCATGAGGCTGACATTCTACATGAGAAATGGGCAATAAACATGATACATTAGAGAATTATATAGGATGTTAGAAGGCGATAAATGCTGTAGAGAAAGCAGAGCAAGGGGATCAAAAGTGCGGAGGTTGGGAGTGGTGAGAGTTACAATTTTAAATAAGATGGACAAGAGAGCCGTTATCGAGAAGGTGAAGACTGAGTAGACATTTGAAGGAGGTAAGAAGTTGGTCTTGTGGATGCTTAGGAAAGAGTATTCCAGACACAGGGAGCAGCTGTGCACAGGCTTAAACGTGAGAAAGTGCAGGGCACGTTCAGCGCCAGCAAGGAGGCTGGTGCGGCTGGAGAGGAAGGAACAAGGGGAAGGAAGGGCGATGTAGGGCATTCAGGGTCATGGAAAAAACAAACATGCTTTGCCCCTATGAGAGGGTGTTAATTGGTGGTTAGGTAGTCTGGCAAAATCAGATTCTTTATGGAGAAAACTTGTGGTAATCGGCATATTCTTAGACACAATTTTTATATATTAATGCATATAACTTTCAGAGGCCTATTGTATAGTGTTGGTTTTCTTTTCAGGTGACTTAAAATTTAAATGTACTTCCCTAAAATTATGCCATTTTGTGCGTGTCTCTTTTTCTTACACATACATCTCTTATTACCTACTCCATTCTTCAGTATTAGAAATGGACAGAAAGTCAAGGCAAGGTGTGTGGCCATAGGAAACTTTGCAATGGTTTTTGGTATATTAACCTATTCGTAGAAAATGGTATTTAAATGTACAAATGAATGATTATATCCATGGGAAGCGTGGTTAAATAGTGCACAGAAGACTTGGATAACCTGTTTAGTATGTAGGAGTCAGCATAAGTAGTCAAACTGTTTATCACAATAGCTGAGATTCTTGTCAAGCTGTGACTAATCTTCTACCTAACGTTCCCAGATTCCTGAGGTGGAGCCTTGATTTAAAAATCATTGCAACCTAACCACCCCACCCTAAGTGAAATCTACCGCATATAACATTGCGTTACTCAGAACAGGTACGACTTGATTTAACAAACTAAATGTATGAAAATCTGTACTAAGAAGGTAAAAAAATGTGGGGATCATGTTTCAGCTTGAAAATAGACACTTTAACAGAAGTATTTAAAAATGGGCTATTTATTTAAAGAAAGGTTTAGTATATTTAAAATGTATTCTGAGTTTCAAAACAGATTTTCAGTCTTATGGTAGAGAAAAGTGGAGATGGAGGGGAAAGTGTAACTCAAACATCTTGAAGACTTTCAAAGCATTTAGTTCACTATTCCAGGCTCTATCCTCTGTTTAATATCGCATGTTGTGGTTGTTTCACCAACCTACGTGATTTGGATGAAACATATTTGTGTCCTTATCTCTGGGGATGGGCCCTGATTGGCCAAAGACATTTACAGTTACCCAGCCCTCTTGCTGCAGTTCTTGGCTGAGGCCTTAGTCATGTGATGCTTGAACCAAACAGGCTATTGGTTTGAAGCTCAGGACTTTTGCTCTGTGATTGAGGCAGTTGTCCTCTCTCTTACACTAGGAAAGAGGAAGTTCATAGTGCCCATTGCTTCTGGCACTCATGCCATAAATCTGAAGGGAGCCACCTAAGATGAAATAGCTACTGTGGACATCACAGTGGAAAGACGGTAAGAAACTGGATCATTGATGACATTGTTAAGATGCTAGATCAACCAGTCATGGAGCCTGTCCAGTAACTAACCCTTCATCTACATGAGCCACTACTTTACTATTGAAGCCAGTTCAGGTTGGTTTGCTTGCAAGTTGGATTATTGTGTCTGAGAGCATCCTAGCTGATACACACACAAAAATAGGAACATCTCCCTTCTCAAGAGCAGAGGAGGATGTACCATAAAGCTATGAAGCTTAAGTTTCAATACCTTCAGTCACTCAGGCCCCTTCCTGGCCTTCTACCAAATTTTACACTTATAATTCTGTATTATTTTGCTTAAAGAGGACTGCCCAAACTGCATAAGCTTCAGGACTCACAAAACCTGGATCTACCTACCATCAGATATTCATGTCTCTCTAGGGGAGGAGTGACTGATGTAATTGGTAAATAGCTGAAAGGGACACAGCTCACGCCTGGCCTCTGTCTGGCTCTGTCATTCGGATGTGCCTGCCCACAGAGGTAAGCTCACCGCAGCAAGCCCTGGATGCCAAGACCGAAGGGCAAGTAGTTGCTGCCTTTGACCGTATCTGCCCAAATTGGCACGTCTCCAACAGATTTTCAAAACAGTACGTTGACATGATGGCTGGGAAGACGCTGAAGAAAGCACCCTGAAAGGAGAGCTCTGGGAGACACAGAGAGAAGATAGATAAGGAATAGAGTCGTTTTTAAGTACTCACACACTTTGCCACCAGGGGTGCAGGTCCTGCCTGCCCCTCTAGCCTCACCCTGCCCACAGTTTACTCCCCCTCGTGTTAGATTTGGCTGTGCCCCTGGGAAGCAGTTTGCATCTGTCAGGTGACTGAGTGCACAAATTCATTCCAGAGGAGGAGTTGGAATCTGATTTTGGTCTCAGGTCCAAGGTGTTTTCTCTTTCTAGCTTTATCAGCAATGAAGCTGATATTGAGCCCCATCTAATACCTGTGTATGTCCCTCAATTGTTTCCCAACTCAAAAGAATATGATGATCACCCTGAAGTGACAACAAAAGCCAACAATAGCAATTGTGGTATTAATGTAGGCATACAAAGTACTAAATGACCATTAAGAACAAAGGAGATCACTAGGTACTAGGGAAGATACACATGCAGTAAAATAGGAATTCCAGCTCTCAGGGAGTTTACAACTGAAAAGGAGTATCACACACACGCACATACATGTATATATTTATAATGGCAGGAATATAACACACCCACGTATAAATGAATATGTATGTATTTACAGTGGCAGATCCAATTTAAACGTATTTTATATATGTTCAGTTATATTAGATTGACAATATAAAATTGCTGTTTTTGAAGGTTAAGGTATTTGAATATCAACACTTTCACATGGCCACCCTGATGTTACCCACACCAAAAACATTCACTATTCCTTGACGTGGCTTAGAAGCTGGTGCCACAACAGGTTAGTAGACCTCTGGGGGCTCCTACTTCCCCTCACTCCTTCAGAGTTTTCACACCTGGCACACTGTCACTCTTTCTAATACAGTTATTACCATCATTCTTGGTGATTTCATATACACGATGACAGTCCTTTCAATATTCTTGTGTCTTGACCTCTTCTGTTACAATGTTCGTGGACTCCATTTTGCCTCAGATACCGGTTCCACGGTCGTACCTTAGACCCTGGAACTTCTTTTTTTTTTTTTTTTCCTTTTTGTCTTTTTTACTGACCGGCAACAGGATCGCAACCCTCGGTGTTGCGCCCGCACCGCGCTCAGCCAGTGAGCGGGAACCGGACTCCACATGGGATCCGAACCCTTGGTGGGAGCGCCGCCGCGCTCCCAAGCGGCGCACTCTCCAGTGCACCACCGGGCCGGCCCGACCCTGGAACTTCTACTTTCTGTTGTCTTTCAGTTCTTCTCTGGGAGTGCCCCAGGGACATGTCATCAGATCCTTTCTTCTCTATCTCTGCCGACCACTTATGTGATCTCATCCAGGCTCATGGTTAACGCCATCTGAATACTGATGACTGTTATGGTTTAAATGTGTCCCCTCCAAAGCTCAGGTGTTGCCAGTGTGGGAGTGTTAAGAGGTGGGGCCTTTAAGAAGTGATCAGGTCCTGGGGGATCCTCTCTCATGACTGGAATTAAGACCTTTGTAAAAGAGACTCACAGCATTCGGTCTCTCGTGCCCTTCTGCTTTCTTCCATGTGAAGACACAGTAAAAAGGCCCTCACCAGAGGTCAGCATCTTGATCTTGGACTTCCCACCCTCCAGAGATGTGAGAAAGTAAATTTCTGTTCATTATAATTACCCAGTCTCAGGTACTTTGTCATAGCAGCATGAGCATACTAAGACAATGACTCTCATATTTATGTCACTAGCTCAGGCCTGTCTGCTGAACTAGACTCTTACACCTAGCTACTTATCGTCATCATCTACTTTGGCGATCTAATACGCATCTTAAATTTATTATGTCTAAAAGTGAACTATTTATTTTCCATGTCCCAACACACATCGTCCCTTCCTCCAGTCTTCCCCATCTTTGTAAATGGCAGTTCCATTTTCTAGTTTGCTTAGTCCAAATATCTTAAGTCACCTTCAACTTTTCTCTTTCTTACCACACACCTAATACACCAGCAAGCCCTACTGGCTGTATCTTCAAAATATGTGATATCCAAAATTCGACCACTTCTCCCCACTTCT